CAAACTGACAAGATCTTTCGCTGTCTATAGCCGGGTACCCATTCCCACCTGGGTGAAGTGAGGAAAATTCGTGTAAAGTGCCTTTCCCAAGGACACAACATCGGGCCCTTGACGGGATTCGAACCCACGACCTTACGGTTGCGAGTCCGAGAGCCTAACCACTAGGCCACCGATGCCACAAATCAAATGACGATAGTAAGGGTTATGAAAAAAATGCAGCAGTTCTTTGCCGCAGTTCAGGCCACAGTTATGAGCAGGAAATTGATGAATCAGCCCATTTACAATTCTACTGTGCGAAAGAACACGTTAATGTCCCCCATTTGGGAAAGACCTAATAAAGACACAAGCGCTGAAGAGAAAGAATTTTGTAATTCTAGAGTAGCGAAGGTTTCGAGGACCTTTCAATACTTTAGAATTTCAAAGTTAAATGTGAGGCATCGTGGTGGAATCAGGCTCTCGTCAAGTTTTGGGAATGTACAGTTATTGGTATAATCTTAAAGCTTGTTCACTTGTCTTTATTTGGATGGAAAAAAATATCCATTTATCTTGAATGCAAGTCGAGATATTTGCGATTGAAGGAGGTGGGGGTCACCTGTTTTCAGAAGTAAAATTAGTGAGAAAATAGCCGCCAAAGATTAGTTATTTCCTTATCTTAAAAGTCCGTGGTAACTGAAAATTTACCATTGTTGTGCCTTTAATCAACGTTTTTCAGAAAAACCCACACAGAAATTAGTTCTTTAATGGGCATGAAAGGTGTTCAGGCCCTGTGGAAAAATGCAAATTTCTTCACTTTGATTATTTTGACGAGGGCCTGATTCCACCACGCTGCCTCATATATATGTTCAGCACTTTAAAAAACATAATTTGTTTCACAACAAGTCAGGCTTTTCTGGAATGCAATTCTTTGAATATTTTGACAACGTCTCCGAACAATCTTTTACAATTTAGATGTAGGAGATAGAGAATTTGATTTCTGACCTCTTGGTCTTAGTAACTCAAAACGACCAAAAATGTCAGACAGAATTTTGCAATGCTCAGGTAGCGCTCTATTTATGCCCCAACATTTAAAATATATTTTTCTACCCCCTTTCCCATCGTAAATCTCCACCACTTTCCCATCGTAAATCTCCATCACTTTCCCATCGTAAATCTCCACAAATCTCCACCACTTTCCCATCGTCAATCTCCACCACTTTACCATCGTAAATCTCCACCACTTTCCCATCGTAAATCTCCACCACTTTCCCATCGTCAATCTCCACTACTTGACTCCCAAGTCCAACAAGTAATCTATGTCCGAATTAATCTAACCTTTTGATGGTGACCTTTAATTTATAGATACTGTTCTTACAATTCCTCTGAATTCTCCTCTACCTCATCCTACTCTTCCCCCGTTTTAACTCTTTCACTATTTCCCCTTTCCACTCATTCCCCTTTCCTCTCTGCTCCTCCCTTTCCTCCACTTTTTTCACTTTTATAGTCTTACACCTTCTTCCATTCCCTCTGCCCTTCCTCCTCTCCCTCCATCTCGGCCTCCTCCTCCTGCTCCTCCTCTTCCTTCTCCTCCACTTCCTCCTCCTCCCCCTCCTCCTCCTCCTCCTCCTCCTAATCTTATACCTCCTAACCAATCATATCTCCCTCCTCCTCCTCCTCCTCCTCCCCCTCCTCCCTGTAAGTCGGACACATTCACCGCCACGTTAGGACAGTACTTGTAGTGAGCCTTAAGCTCGCGGCCCGGGCAGCCGTCAGAGGAGCCAGAGGAGAGAGTCAGTCGATCGTCCTCTATCGCAGGTGGCACGCCGGCCTGGGAGCTGGAGTCGAACATCAGCCTCTCCTCTTGAGCCGGGGACAGGAACAGGTTGCCGTCTTCCATCATGGTGTTGCGTACTACCAGGAAGATGACACGGGGGCCTTTCTCCGGCTGGCGAGATAGACAGATAGATATATAGATAGATAGATAGATAGATAGATCGATAGATAGATAGATGGATAGATAGATAGATGGATAGATAGAAAGATAGATAGATAGATAGATAGATAGATAGATAGATAGATAGAAAGATAGATAGATAGATAGATTGAAAGATAGATTGAAAGATAGATAGATAGATAGATAGACAGATAGATAGATAGATAGATAGATAGATAGATAGATAGATTGATAGATAGATAGATAGATAGATAGATAGATTGAAAGATAGATAGATAGATAGATAGATAGATTGAAAGATAGATAGATAGATAGATAGATAGATAGATAGATAGATAGATAGATAGATTGATTGAAAGATAGATAGATAGATAGATAGATAGATAGATAGATAGATAGATAGATAGATAGATAGATAGATAAGATTTCACTGGTTAGAGTGTTTTCCGTTTTGGTATTAATTAAATTTCAATTTTGCCAAGATGGCGGCCGAAGTCTCCTCCTTCTAACTGCTGTCTTTCAGCCACACTCCTGATCTCAGGGAAGGTAAGATCGAACACCTAGTCTTCTCGGATAAGGCCAACAAATCTCAGAAGCCCTGAGTGCATGTAGGACACGTTAAAGATCCATTGGTGGTACTAAAATCGATAAGAGTAGGCTTCAGCAGCCACACTCGCACAATGGAAGAAGGTCCAGTCGACTAAGAAACACACGCGAGACGTGCTTTATTCCAGTTGTGCCACCATCTCTGCTATAAATCTTTGTTTCGTTTCGAAAATTAATATAAGGAAGTGGTCAACCTTTTTCAACTACAACAGTTGTCATTCTGCACTGCAAACTGCTGTTCGCACCGGGAGGATGATCCATTCATCTCACCTGCCTGGTAAAGAATGATGATCCATTCATCTCACCTGCCTGGTAAAGAATGATGGTCCATTCATCTCACCTGTCTGGTAAAAAATGATGGTCCTTTCATCTCACCTTTCTCTGTACATAGTAAAGAATGATGGTCCATTCATCTCACCTGTCTCTGTACATAGTAAAGAATGATGTTCCATTCATCTCACCTGTCTCTGTACATAGTAAAGAATGATGGTCCATTCATCTCACCTGTCTCTGTACATAGTAAAAAATGTTGGTCCATTCATCTCACCTGTAAAACCAGTCTTTGTACATAGTAAGGACTAATAGTCTTTATTTTATCTCACTTGTGAAAACAGTCCCTGTACATAGTAAGGAATGATGGTCTTTTTTATTAGGAAGTTGTTAGGGGACTGTACAGTCCCGTAGCGCTACCCACTCGGGGACTGCGCGCACAGTCCCCTTGTGCTGCTTTGAGCACTGGGGGACTGAAAAGAAACAACCTTTGACCTTTGGATCGAGATCAGCAAGCCTTAGACATCATCGGACAGATCTAGAACCTACTGATACATAACTAGATCTAGAACCTACTGATACATAACTAGATCTAGAACCTACTGATACATAACTAGATTTAGATCTAGTGAAGTTAATTAGTATGGTGGGAGAATCTAGATCTAGAGCCAAATACTGTTTATTTTAAGGCGAATTTATCGTTTATGTCGACAGGTTTGATGATCTATCTAGAGTCTAGATATAAATCTAGTAGTAGGGCCTACTAATGACATAGACTGTAGACTAGATCTATACTACATGGTAGGTCTACTCTTCTTCAATGAAAACAATTCCAGTCTGTATCTATAATATCTAGGACTAGCTAGACCTAGATCTAGATCTAGATCTAGTTTAGATCTGGATCTAGGCCAAGTAGTAGGCCTAGTATCAGTATTTATTACCAAAGATTCACTACTTCCAAGGTACTACAATCCTTCTTTGGGTTTTCGGTGTAAGTATTCGCACCCGAGGTGAGAATACTCCACATATAATAGATCTAGATCTAGATCTATATTATTCTCACCCAGGGTTTTTCGTTTCCGCCCTTTTTAGATCTAGATCTATTTTGTTTAGAATTTGAGTTTTGCACAGTCCCCCAACAACTTCCATTGCTCTATATCTTGGTAGTAGAGAATCTTTGGTAATACTAAACTAGATCTAGGCCTAGATTTTAGATATTTTAGACACAGACTACCATGTAGTGTTGTCTATACAGTCTACGTCATAAGTAGTTCTACTACTATATCTAGATCTAATCTAGATAGATCCTATTCTTGATCAATAAACCTGTCGACATAAAAATATAAATTCGCCTTAAATAAACTGTGTTTGGCTCTATATCTAGATTCTCCCGCCACACTCATACCTTTAACAGTTGCTAGATCTAGATCTATGTATCAGTAGCGACACTTGGTGAACCATTTGATTCTAGATTTAGATCTAGACCTACAATGTAAGAACTATTACAATATAGATCTAGTCTAGATCTAGACTACGTCAATTCTACTGGATCAAGAAAACTTTCACACAGTGGGTGACTCTACCATAGGGCCTACTCATTATTTTTTTTAAAACAGAACATCATAGCTCCCAAAAACATCGCCAACAGTCAAATCAAACAACATGTTGTCAATTTGTCCTGGGAGGATATTTAAATGTTGTTATGTCTAATGGTGGCTTGTTGTCCTCGATCCAAAGGTCAAAGGTTGTTTCTTTGCAGTCCCCCAGTGCCAACAGCAGCGCTAGGGGACTGTACAGTCCCCTAACAACTTCCTTTTTATTATCTTACCGGCGAAACCAGTCCCTGTAGATAGTAAGGAATTATGGTCTTTATTTTATCTCACCTGTGAAACCAGCCCCTGTAGATAGTAAGGAATTAAGGTCTTTATTTTATTTTACCTATGAAACCAGTCTTTGTACATAGTAAGGAATTATGGTCTTTATTTTATCTCACCTGTGAAACCAGTCTCTGTACATAGTAAGGAATGATGCACGGTCCTACATACTGTGCCTGGCTGTAGTAAGCCTTTGCGAAGCCTGAGAAGGGGTGGGATATTGATGAGATTCTTAAAATAGGGGCCCGGGGGAGGGGGGGGGGAGGGGGAGGAGTGGTGGAGATACAAAAAAGGAGTGGTGATAGTGGAGGAGACAAAATGAGAGTTGGGGGGGGGGGTGAGATAGTGTGGAGTTCGAATTAGTTTCAATAAAGAGAAGCACTTCGTTACATAAACAAGTCACTGATGTAGCGAAGGGAAACCGGAACACAATGAGAACCATCCGAAGGAAAGAAAATGCGTTAAAAATTAGGGTTGGGAGGAAGGGGGGGGGGGGTAGCAGAACGACACAGCGGATTCCCCGGATTTTTAAAAAGTCTCTTGGGGCAGGGCAGTAAAGTGTTCCACTCTAAGGTACTTAATCGCCCGTTTTTTACTTTTTGGCAAAGCTGGGCGAAGAGTCGATTCCTGAATCGATTCCCACGATTAATGCTACGGAAGAAAAGTTCCGACTCCTTTTACTTAAACCAACGTTACCAATTACTTTAATCATTAAAATCTTCTCTTTTTTAAAGGATTTATTTTTGAAAAATAAAATTTGATGCTTCGTAGTGCTCCGAAATCAAGGTTATCCCAAGTCCTGAAAATGTTCGGAGCCAACCAGGTAACCACCTGTAGAAATCACATCATTAGAAAGTAAGTAATTGGGTTCGGAGTCGAGTCCGACGATCCCTAGCTTTCAACAATCGGGAACCTCGCCGCCCAGCACTACTTTTTGGAAAAAAAGGGGGGTAAGGGGGTCAGGGTTATTGGTTTACTCTTTAAAAAAAATATATAATACGTGTTTCAGAAATCTGGGCTCAACTTATTTGTGCGGCAGCGTGGTGGAATCAGGCTCTCGTCAAAATAATCAAAATGAAGAAACTTGCATTTTTTTCCGCTGGTTTGTGAATGTTTATCAAATTTTTGTTTTTTGGCTCAACACCTTTCATGTCCATTAAAGAAATCATTTCTGTGCGGATTTTTCTGAAAAACGTTGATTAAAGGCACAGAAAATCTAAATTTTCAGTTGCCACGGACTCTTAAGCTAAGGAAATAACTAATCTTTGGCGGCCATTTTCTCACTAATTTTACCTCTACACATGTGACCCCCACCTCCTTCATTCACAAATATCTCGACATGTTTTCAAGATAAATGGATATTTTGTTCATACAAATAAAGACAATTGAACAAGCTTTAAGATGATACCAATAACTCTACATGCCCAAAATTTGACGAGAGCCTGATTCCACCACGCTGCCTCACATTTGTTTGTTGTTGTTGTTTTGTGTTACAGTTTTGATCATACTTTAGTTTAGAGCTGAACTAAGAGTGAAAATCATCTGAAATGTAATAATATAGAAGAGAATCAAACAACATCTAATTGACTGTGAGATAAAAAAAAAAAAGAAAGAAACTTGGCGGTGGATTTGGCATACACTTAGGAAGCCAGCCGACAATAAGACAAGACAAAACTTGAAATGGAATTCCCAAGGGAGGAAGCAGAGAGGAAGGCTGAGATCCACCAGGGAATGAGATATTGAAGCAGATATTAGACATGGTGTTGGTCAAAAAGATGTAGGCACGTTGTGCTGGATGGTGTGTTGGTAATCGTAGGAGATGTCCGAACCATTTGATTCTTTGGTGTTGGAAGTGATGCATGACATCATTTGTGCACACCATTTCTCGGATTACAGAGTTTCTAATTTTGTCTCGCCTGGTCTCGTTTACTGCTTTTCTAAGGCATCGCATTTCACAGGTTGTAATTCTTTGCTCTAATGTCTTGTTCGTGATCCATGTTTGGCATTGATGGGTGAGTGTTGGGATGAATATGGTGTTGATCATTTTAAGTTTTATTGTCATGGGGAGGTTTGGATGTTTCAGTAATGGAGTAAGCTAGCAACTAACATTATTGGCCTTGTGTACTCGTGTTTCAATTTCTCTGTTTAGTCGCCCATCCTCAGTGAATATACTTTCGAGGTAATAGAATTCGATGGCAACAAGGCTAGAGGGCGACCGAGAAAGACCTGGATAGATGGAGTCAGGGAAAAATTAACCTCCAACGGCATCCCTCTGACCAAAGCTCTTCTCAGTTAGTTTAGTAAAGAGTTTTACGGCACTTGCAACACAATAAGGTCATATAAGTGCCGAAGATTAGAGGTTTTACAAGAGAGTAACAACAAACGTAAAAAAGAAGGAGGAGAGATAAGGACGATAAATGCTTAAGAGAAAAGAAGGAGCAAACCACACCAGAGCACCCGCCAACCACCCACTCAAAATTCTCCGGCTGACGACAGAAAGATGTCTCTTTCTTCCGGCTACACCCAAAAAGGGGATAAGTGGCGGACAAGAGTAAAGGTAAAAGTAAAGTTGGTCAAAATTAAAACTATCCTATGATTGTGAGGCAGCGTGGTGGAATCAGGTTCTCGTCAAAATAATCAAAGTGAAGAAACTTGCATTTTTACGCAGGTTTGTGAATTTTTATCGAAATTTTGTTTTTTGGCTCAACACCTTTCATGCCCGATAAAGAACTCATTTCTGAGAGGTTTTTCTGAAAAACACACAAAATGTAAATTTTCAGTTACCACGGACTCTTAAGCTAAGGAAATAACTAATCTTTGGCGGTCATTTTCTCACTAATGTTACCACTGAAAACAGGTGACCCCACCTCCTTTATTCACAAATATCTCGACTTCTATTCAAGATAACTGGATATTTTTTCATCCAAATAAAGACAAGTGAACAAGCTTTAGGATGATACCAATAACTCTACATGCCAAAAATTGACGAGAGCCTTATTTCACCACGCTGCCTCACAATTCATTTTTAGAAGATCAACAGTAGCCCTCATGAGATATCCGTTGGTGTGTGAACTAAACCAAATTGAACTCAAGTCCGGTTGAGCCACATGGATTAACAGATTTTTGGTAAAAGTCTACTTGAACCTCCCAGTTGGAACTTACTTGACCTGTCAAGGTCATTGTGGGTCTCCACTCTAACAGAGCCACATGCAGGTCGTAGTGACGTCATGCCCGAAAGTAGCTTTTAAAGTCATTTTAAGAGGGGGGGGGGGGAGGGGGGTGTTTTAAATTGACGATTTTCGGTCAATTTTTGGTATCTGGACTTTTTAACGTATTGTTATAATACTACAAATAACAAAGTCTTGTAAATCTGAAATGTGCTTACTTTTTGTCTTACGATCATCATCTTTCATATTTTCTGTCCTAGAACTTTCATTTTTCCTTGTAACAATATGTGAGGCAGCGTTGTGAAATCAGGCGCTCGTCAAAATAATTAAATCGAAGAAAACAGCAGTTTTCTCCCTGCTTAGCAAATTTTATCAAATTTTTGTTTTTTGGCTCAACACCTTTTATGTCCATTTGCAAACACATTCATTTTAGGATTTCACCGAAAACGTTGATTAAAGGAACAAAAATATAAATTTACAGCTTCCATGGACTCTTCAGCTTTGGAATTTACCTAGTTTTGGCGGCCATTTTCTCGCTAATTTTACCTCTTAAATCAGATGACCCCCACCTCCTTCAATCCAAAATATCCCCACTTCTATAGAAGATGGACGGGTAATTTTTTTTATTGAAAGCAACACATGTGAACAAGCTTTAAGATGATACCAATATCTCAATATGCCAAAAAATTGATGAGAGCCTGATTCCACCACGCTGCCTCACATTGGTCGTTTTTTCCACAAAACTTCAATTTTGATGGGGGTTTTTCACCTACTTTTTTGTTCTCTTCTTGATTCCAATGAAATTTTTAGGGCTTGTTATTCACACCGTAACCTTACTCTATAAGGTGGAAAATAAAATAAGTGAGATGAATGTAATCGAATTCAGAGGCACGAAGGGGTAGGTCAGTTATCCGTCTCTAACTTTTTTCCTAGTCAAGATATCCAAAATCCCAACAGTGTAAAATTGTGTATTGAGTATATCTATCAATGTACCAAATTTGAACAAATGTTACCATGGCAAACGTAGACCTAAACAATAACAATAACAACAACAATTACAACAACAAAAACAACAACAACAACTACTACTACTACTACTACTACTACTACTACTACTACTACTACAGAAGCAGCAACAACAAAGATCAAAGGCAATCACGATAACAATAATAACAATGATGGAGGTAACGACAACAACAACAACAACAACAACAACAACAACAACAACAAAAACAGTACTGGTGAAATAGTATGGGTTTAACGCCCCTATCAACACTATTAGGTTATTCAAGGGGCGGGACCTCCTAGTTAACGTCCCTCTCCGATAGTACCAAGCCAAGTGGGAAGTTCGTGTAAAGTGCCTTTCCCAAGGACACAAAGTCGGACCGAGCTGAGGCTCGAACCCCCGAATACGCAATCTCACGATAACGAGTCTAACAACGCCAACTGCTACAACAGTAGCAGAAACAACACAGAACAAAAGGGAATAACAAAAACAAAAATAGCAAAAACAATGGGAACAATACTACAGCAACAAACAAGGATTTTAAAAAAATGAATATAAAAGAAAGGACAGCAACAAACACAACAACATCTACAACAACAGCAGCAGCAACTACAAAGACCAAAGGTAATAACGATAACAATAACAACAATGTCGAAAATAACAACAGCAGCAAACACAAAAACAGAAACAGGAATAACAACAACAAAACTAACAACAACAACAACAACAACGACAACAAAAACAACTACAGCGGCAACATACACTACAGCAGAAACAACAACAACAACAATAACTATTGCAGCAGCAACAAACACAATGAACAGAAACAACAACAACAACAACAACAACAACAACAACAACAACAACAACAACAACAACAACAACAACTAAAGCAGAAACATACACAAAAGCAGAAACAACAACAACGACAACAACAACAACAACAACAACAACAGCAACAACAACAATAGCAACAACAACAACAACAACAACAACAAAAACAACAACAACTAAAGCAGAAACATACACAAAAGCAGAAACAACAACAACAACAACAACAACAACAGCAACAACAACAACGAATATAACAAAGACAACTACAGCAGCAAAATACACAAAAACAGAAACAACAACAACAACATAAACACAAACAAAAACACCACCAACAACAACAACAGCAACAAAAAACAACAACAACAGCAACAACAACAACAACAACAACAACAACAACAACAACAACAACAACAACAACAACAACAACAACAACAACT